CCTCTACAGGGGCCGGCAGGAGAACGAGGTGCCTCATTTAGTCTGACTTTATGACTACTCGAGCAGAGCTAAGCAAGGGTTAAAAGTAAAAAAATTCCTTATGCAAAGGAGGCACGTGGTTCTCTCGCCTCCTGTAGAGGGCGGTTTTTAGAGGCTTTTTAGAGGCTCTGGGATCAACTAGCTCAGTCTGACCTCAGAGCTCTTGCCTTTCTCCTTTCACATTTTTTTTCTTTTCTTTCACTGCACCAAAGTGTTGAAAGTTCCACTACTAATTTGTTTGACTAAAGCCAAACAAAATCAGAGTTTGTCTTTGTTATTATGATATCTGGCTCACTTATACGGCACATATTTTTCTGACATTTCTTCCTTCACGCTGCATTTTTTCTCCCCCTCGGGGTATTTTTATGATTTCTTTTTTCTTTTAGTAATTGTGAATTCTGACTGTTCCATTCTAACACTTGTGTTTAAAATATCAGAACTTTCTTTGCAACATGACTCCCATTTACTCCATTGGCCACAAGCAGAGGGAAGCAATCTGCAAGAAAGAAACATACTGTTGATTTGTACCACTCTTTGTAACTATGCAGTTGTTAAAACTTTCAACTTTGCACAGCTTAAGACTTACATTTAAGCAGGAATGTGTGGGGCGGAGAGAGATAATTGGCCTCACCCATCCTAGCCAATCCACCATCGGCGTCCCTCCACTGCCACTCCTCCCCCTCTGTTCCTCCCCTACTACCTCACCCCATGTGATTTGCCATGAGACAAATTGCCATGGCTGATTCACCATGTGGGACAATTAGCCATGCATCCTGGCAGTCAATTCACGTGCGGAGGGTTGGGCCTCTGCCTTCCATGGACCTGGTGGGCAGAAATCGCGCTGTGTGGGGCAGGCAGTGCCGGGAGGCAGGGGATATGGCGGTTGCTGTGCAGGGCAACTAGTGGTCGCTCCTTCTCCCTGGCACTTGGCGCTCTCTGTCTCTCTCTACCTCCCTCCTTCCCTCCCTCTCTCTCTCTCTTTCTTTCTTCTTTCCCACCTGACTCAGTGGTTTCTTTCTATTAGCTATGTTATAAAAATACTAATAGCATTCTCTTATTAAAGTTGTAAACATCTTATTTTTCAACATCCACTATTACTAACTTCCAACTGTGGTGAATGTGGCTCGCTAATTTCCTGTTTCTCAACCATGGCAACTTTTAAGATGCATGGACTTCAACTCCTGGAATTCTCCAGGCAGTTGCTAAGATTGAGAACCGCTGCCCTAACTGTTTACATAAAATCATTCTCTTTAATCAAAGCGCCTTTCTCAACTTGCTGTCTTCCCCAGATATTGGGGCTATATTACCTAACCAAGTCAACCAGTTAGCGAAGATTATAAAAGAAAAGAATCTATTGATGTTCTTACTTTGCTATAAGCCAGGGGTCACCCAACCCCCCAGTCCACAGCCCAGTACTGGTCTGCGACTCATTGGAAAACAGCAGTGAAGCTCTATTTGCACAAGTGGCGTGCATGTGTGCAAAACCATCTCCTCTCCCCTCCTGCTACCACTGTCGCTGCCAGTCCGCAGAGCCAGAATGGTTGGGGACCATTGCTGTAGGCAATATGTCTAAACTGAGGCTGAACTGAATCTTTTTTTTTTTTTACAGGTTCAATTCTGTTCATAGGAAGACTTACAAATCCTACACTCTAAACTTAAAATTAATCCATCTACTGGTCTACTTTTCCAAAGCCACTGAGGCAATGCTGTACATATCTAAGTAGCAGGTTTGATCTTGGATTTTTTCTTTCTTTCAATGAACCTGTAATCCCTTGCATCGGGGTGGAGTCAGGGTGACTGAACAGAGGTCAAGCGTTTACTGACTGGATGCCCTTCCTGACACCTACATGGAGTTCACAGCAGACAATGACTTGCGCAAACAGAGAGAAATATTTGCCACCACCTAGGATCCAACGGACAGCCTCCTAATTTTGAGGCGGCAGCTCCACCTCTAAACAGGGGTGGGTTGCTGACGGCATTACTGGCAGTTTGGGGCGCACACGATTTTACATTACTGCTGGTTCGGTCCGAACTGGTAGGAACCCACCTCTGCCTCTTGGCCACCACGCCAGAGGTGGTATTCAGCAGGTTCTGACCAGTTCTGGAGAACCAGTAGTGGAAATTTTGAGTAGTTTGGAGAACCGGTAAATACTACATCTGACTGGCCCCACCCCCATCTGTTCTCTGCCTTCCGAGTCCCAGCTGATCGGGAGGAAATGGAGATTTTGCAGTAACCTTCCCCTGGAGTGGGGAGGGAATGGAGATTTTATAGCAGTGTTTCTCAACCTTGGCAACTTGAAGATGTCTGGACTTCAACTCCCAGAATTCCCCAGCCAGCAATTCCTGGCTCGGGGAATTTCGGAGTTTAAATTCCATCATCTTTCATTTGGCAAAGGTGTGC